CTTTATAGAATCATTTGTATTCCCCCGTCGAAGGCTATAGACTGATAGCCGAAAGCTCGTAGAAATAAATATTTAGTCAGAGAACGCTCAATAAATAAACTCTGCAATATGTTAATATGAAAATGTTCCAGAGTGTGTATTATATAATTTCCATACCCAGCGCAAGCAACATCTTTCTGCTTGCGCTATGGAAATTATATAATACACACTCTAGAACATTTTCATCTTAATATATATATATATATATATATATATATATATATATATATATATATATATATATATATATATATATATATATATATTTATGTATGTATGTATGTATGTATGTTGTAAAGTATTGTATTTCATCCTGTCTGAAGGTGACTTTGAAATAAAGTCGAAAATTTACAGTCTCGACTTGCATCTTGTTTTGAATCATATATTGAATTCTGAAGATGTCTTCTCTTTTCGGAATTTGTTTTTTACTTTGTAGTAGTGAACATGTTTTCAAATTTACTCTCACCTCCAGTGGCGTTACAGCGAACACCAGCATCTTCATGGTGACCACAGTTGTGAGTTCCCCAGCCAGAATGTCTGCATGAAAATAGCGCTGACTCATGACCTCCACAACAAACATTGTCAAGCCATATTTGTCCAGTTCCATCGAGAACATTACGACCTTGGTAAGCTGCCACTGCATCTTGGAAACCAAGCTGTCTGCAGACAACACGAGCATCGTTTATGTCCCAACTGTCATCACAAACTGTTCCCCATGTACCGTTATAGTAAACTTCCACCCGTCCCGCATTGTGAGAACCGCCCACAAGCCGCACGTCTAAAATTAAACATTAATTAAACAAGCTACACAGTAGGCAACCGGTTACAACTGAGTGTATTCAGGAGTATCTATTTGGAGGGGATATGTTTCGCTTCGCTTGGATAATCCTTCTTTCCACCCACATGACAGAGGCTCTCTTTCTGCGTTGTATTTATATATATATATATATATATATATATATATATATATATATATATATATATATATATATATATATATATATATATATATATATATATATAAATATGAAACGCGCTATTTCGTATACGGGAGGATCAAAACGATGCAATTTATGTTTAGAGGAAAAATTTTGTATTTTGAAAGAAAACCAAAACTGTTTACTCAATAAAAGAATGGAAATTATATCAACGTGCAGACATAGGAAGAAATTTCGCGTAAACA